TACTCAGCCATAAAATGGAATGCATTTGAGTCAGTTCTGATGAGGTGGATGAACCCAGAACCTATTATACAGAATGAAGTAAGTCAGAAAGTGACAGATAAATACCGTATACTAATGCCTATATACAGAATCTAGAAAGATGGTACTGAAGAATTTATTTTCAGGGTAGCAATGGAGAAACAGACACAGAGAACAGACTTATGGCCACAGCACAGGGAGGAAGGAGAGAGGCTGCATGCAGAGAGCAACATGAACGCTTACACTACCATGTGTAAAATGGATAGCCAACTGGAATCTGCTGTGTGGCTCAGGAAACTCAAAGAGGGGCTCTGTATCAACCTAGGGGGGTGGGATGGGGAGGGAGATGGGAGGGAGGTTTAAAAGGGAGGGGATATATGTATACCTATAGCTGATTCATGTTGAGGTTTGACAGAAAACAACAAAATTCTGTAAAGCAATGATCCTTCAATAAAAACAATTTTTGAGTAAATTTAAAACTGTAAAAAAATAAAATTCTACCAGGAAAACACACACACACAAAAAGTCTACAAATAATAAATGCTGGAGAGGGTGTGGAGAAAGGGGAATCCTCTTACACTATTGGTGGGAATGCAGATTGGTGCAGTCACCATGGAAAACAGTAAGGAGGTTCCTTTAAAAACTAAAAATAGAGCTACCATATGATCCAGAAATCTCACTCTTGGGTATACATCCAGAAAAGATGAAAACGCTAATTTGAAAAAATACATGCAACCCAGTGTTCACAGAAGCATTATTTATAATAGCCAAGACATGGAAACAATCCAAATGGCCATCAACAGACAACTGGTTTAAGAAGATGTAGTGTGTGTATGTGTGTGTGTATATATATATATATATATATATATATGAAGTGAAGTGAAAAGTCACTCAGTTATGTCCAACTCCTTGCGACCCCATGGACTATACAGTCCATGAAATTCTCCAGGCCAGAATACTGGAGTGGGAAGCCTTTCCCTTCTCTAGGGGATCTTTCCAATCAGGGATCAAACCCAGGTCTCCTGCATTGCAGGGTGACTCTTTACCAGCTGAGCCACAAGGGAAGCCCAAGAATACTGGAGTGGGTAGCCTATCCCTTCTCCAGCAGATCTTCCCAACCCAGGAATCGAACCGGGGTCTCCTGCATCACAGGTGGATTCATTACCAACTGAGCTATCAGGGGAGCATATATATACATACACACACACAGATACACACACACACACACATAGTTTATAGGATTACAAAAATACCTAATTAAAATATACAATAGTAATAACATGAATTTGAAGGGCATAAATGGGTAGAATATTCTAAGTTTCCTTTATTGGCTTAATGCAGAATAAAGATATTAATTTCAGACTTCCTTTAAGAAAACATGTTAAAATTCCTAGAGTATTATAAAAACAGAAAATATAGTGTATAACTTCCAAACAAGAGGGGAACAAATGGAATAAGAAAAAATAATCTAAGGATAAGAAAAGAAACTAGAACATGGAAAAGGCAAGACAAAAAGCACAAAATAAGATGGCATATTGAAAATGCAATATATTTGTGATTACAATAAATATAAATAGATTAAAAGCTCCAGTTTAAAAAAACAGACTAGCTGACTGGCAAAAAAAAAAATTAAAATCAACTATCTGTAAGAAACGCATCTCTTTAGGACAGATAAAAGTTGAACATTATAAAGAGAGAGAATTACGCCACATTTGATAGTGTTGAATACTTATTTACTTAAAATCTTTTTCTCTTCTGTTGTTGGGGGAATCAATCTAATGAATCTCTTACATTTATATATATTGTTCTCAGTGTCCTAAATTGAATTTTACCATCTACCCATCTCTTGTGCTTCTCAAAGTTTGGGCTTCAATTAAAAAAAAAAAGTTTGGGCTTCAAACCATGTGCAATGGAAACACCTGTGCCCCACTCCGGACCTACTAATTCAGAACACCTAGTCATGAGTATCAGGGTATCAGTCAGCCTTTTAACAAGGTCTCCCAGTTGATTTAAGTGTAAGAATTATTGATTTAAATGTTGACCCACAAGGTTCTGTCGGTCCTCGTCTACCTTCTGTTACACATGCACCAAAAATAACACCCAAAACTTTCACCAGTTATTGTTTTTTTTTTATTTTTTTTCATTTATTTTTATTAGTTGGAGGCTAATTACTTTACAATATTGTAGTGGTTTTTGCCATACATTGACATGAATCAGCCATGGATTTACATGTGTTCCCCATCCTGATCCCCCCTCTCACCTCCCTCCCCATCCCATCCCTCTGGGTCTTCCCAGTGCGCCAGCCCTGAGCACTTGTCTCATGCATCCAACACCACCAGTTATTGTTATCAACAGGATGTGTAAGCTGCCTTACCTCCACACCCCCCACCCCTGCCAATAACTATAATCCCACCTGACATAAAGGGTATTTATTTGAACGAACCTGATGATTCTCAAAGCCGCTTTGTCAACCAAGACCTAATTTGTAGGCATCATATCTGCATGGGCATCAATCCAATGGACAAGTCCACCAGGATATCCTAAATTACCCTGAATCAATCAGTTAGGATTAAATTCAGCTAACAGTAACAGAAAAGCCTAAAACAGTGGTTTACATAACACAGAAGTTTATTTCTCTCAAATAGTCTGGAATAGGTTAGTATAAAAATTCTGCTCCACAAAGTTCTCAGACAGTCTGGCTCCTTTCTGCTTTCCACTTCAAAATGCCTAGAATACGGTCCCCATTTTATAGTTCAAGATAGAGCTCCATCCAAAACAACCACATTTCTAACAGCGGAATGGAAGCAAGAAGGGAGAAAAGGTATATTTACCTCTCTGTAACACACTACCTGTGCTTTTATCCCACTGACAAGGATTTAAGTGTCAAGACCATAACTAACTGCTAAAAATGCTAGAAATCTAGTCTTTATGTTAGTCAGCCGAACTGTTACTAAGGGGAGAAAAAGGGGGGAGACCAGATACTGAACGACAATAGCATTCTTGACTACACCTTCCGAAGTTACCATGTCCCAACTTGAACTCATCAGTTTGCAGAATACACTGCAATTTCACACCTTTGTGATGTCTTTATCTCCTACCTTTACCTCCATTCTGCCTGGCAAACTCCTTCTCCTCTCTTAATACTCACATCATGCATCTTCTTGTGAAGCGTTCCCTTACCTAACCACCTTTACCGCCAGCCTAAACAAACCAGATGTCTTTCAGCCACCTTCATCTCTAGCATATATCTCTATTTTTACACTGTTAATTTTGTACTGTATCTTTTTAAAAAGTCTATCCCTCCATTCATCCCTCTCCCAGTAGAAAGTAAACTTCTTGAGGGCAGAGACTGTGCCTTATTTTAGTATCATATGTACATAAATCTGTATCATATTAAATTTTACAAAAATCAACCATTAACATCTGTTACCTAAAATTATGACAGCAGGAAACTGGTAAAAAGAGGTACCTAATAAAAAGAACATCATGGTATGTAGTACTGTAGAATAATGGGATGTCTTAAAGTTCCAAATTACATAAGATTCTACTAGCAGTTACAAGAATATTATGGCTATATGCTCATACTTAAGTACTGCCTTCCTCCACACACGTTACCTATTCATTTCCTACACTCATCTTTCTTTTCTTTCTGGTATAAATTAATATAGTGGAGTAAATTTTAAGTAGATTTATATTTGACTCCACTAATAAGTTCACATTTAACTTGGATCAAATGACTGGGTTCTGTGCTTAGACTCCAGTTAAATCTCAGCAGTTATTTCATCACAGAAGGCCCGGTTAGGTATGTCTATGTCCTTGGAAGAGTCAACCAAGGAGCTTCAATATTTTGATGTCTTTTTTTCTGAAAGAAAATATCTAGGCTAGATAACACAGTATTCAACTTAGGAAGCACAGCATTACAACTGATAAACACTTGACTGAAATAACATAGTAAATAATATACTAACTTGTGATAGCTTTCATAGTCAAAAAGTTTTAACATGCACAAGTAAAATCTTTATAGAAGTAAAATCTTAACACTATCAAAGCACCAATTTAACTTGAAAAATCAACCAAAATCATGTAAAACATGTATAACAATTGCTATGCCCAACCTTTAAAAAAAAATCTTCAAGATATTAACAATGGAATGCCATGTGTAATTTTAAATAGGATATCAACTATAAATGTAGCTAAGTACCCCAAAATGCTTACAGCAGCAAAGCTTCAATGGTGTAAATGTGGCCTGCAGCTTTGCCCATATTGGCCAGTGTGGTCTATCAATTCAGACCATGATGTTGTGCTGACCCTCAAGAATTCTAATTATAACCTTATACCTCAAGTTCTCTAACCTGAACAGTGCCCTCACTGTTCTGCCTGCTGTTCCTCAGTTAGGTATGAAGTTCTACCCTCAATGTCAACAGCATCCTACCCTCAATGTCAACAGCAGTTAGATCTAACTTCAACAAAATAAAAGAACATGTATTAGTTAGTTATTATCTTACCATTACTTCCTAGTGGTTGTAATAGATCTCCTGTCAGGTTACACCACCCAACTGGGAAAATATCTCGACAATCATACTTGCACCAATAATCGAAAGCTCTGCTCCAGCCATCAAATGTGATATAAACTTCATCTCCTTTAACATTTCCAATAGTTGCAGGGCAGATCAGATAAGGGTTCTTTCTGTCTACAGCTTCAAGTTTCATTCCCACTTTAAAATTATTTAGAGGTGGCTTTGGTGGTTCCTACCAAAATATTAAAAGAAAAAAAAGTTTTCACTGTTAAGATGTATTAAGAAGCATTTGCTCAACTGTATTCTTACAATCTTCAGCAACCAAAAATTAAGCTTCATGTTTATCAATTAAATACAGGAAGAGACAGTTCTCACAGCTCCCTTTGAAACTCTGCTCTACAATATTTCACTTACTCTGGAGCATAGTCAAGAACCTAGAAGAAAACAAAACCAGCCTGATGGTCATTCATTCATTCAAGAAATATGTATTACATACCATGTACCAGGAATTTACCATTCATAGGCAAACAAAAATATCAAGATCCCTGTTCTTGTAGACATTACATTCTAATAGTGGTGGTAACAGTGGTTGGGAGGCCAGACAGGATGAAGGGGAGGAAGCAATAACAAGAAATTTTAAAAGAGGGAGTCAAACAAATCTAAAAATACGTCAATTATAGAGTAATTTGAAAGATAAGTCCAAAAAGAAGGAACAGCAGCAGATAATATCTAAAAAGAAACTCAAAATATAAAATGTAGATACAAGAACATGAAAGTCACAGTCTGGGGTCATTTATGATATGCAATCCAGAAACAAATATTTAAAAGCATTCCTTAATTACAAATAGCTAAAGCATACAAATGCTAACAGGATTCTTAGACCAAGGGCTACATTAAAAGCAACATCTTCTTTTCTTCCACTCTGCTTTTTATCCCAGTAAATGGCACCATCAGCAACCCAGTTACCCAAGTCAGAAACCTGGAAATGGCCCTAGACCTGCGGTTCTCAGCATGACTAAACATTAGAATCTCCTGGGGCCACAGTGCCAGAGCTATTTATTAAACTGGTCTGATATAGGACTTAGGGCACATTTTAACTGCCCAGATTCTACTGTGTATCCAAGGCTGAGAACTACTACCCTAGATGCATCCTTTCCCCCTAACACTCGCATTCAGAGACTACAACCTGCCAATTGTACCCCCTAGATCTCTAGAATAACAACATTAAAAGTTAACTTTCTCTTCATTAAGACTTCCAGAAATCAGAAAATAAATAGTATTAGGGAACACATTATAAAAAGGTTAACCTTCAATTTCCTCTATTTCTTTGAATTGTTCACTTAAGAAGGCTTTCTTATCTCTCCCTGCTCTTTTCTGGAACTCTGCATTCAGTTGGGTGAATCTTCCCCTTTCTCCTTTGCCTTTCCCTTCTCTTTTTTTCTCAGCTATTTGTAAGGCCTCCTCAGACAACCACTTTGCTTTCTTGCATTTCTTTTCCTTTGGGATGGCAAAGCAGAGACATCACTTTGCTGACAAAGATCCATATAGTCAAAGCTACAGATTTTTCAATAGTCATGTACAGTTGTAAGAGATGGACCATAAAGAAGGCTGAGTGCCGAAGAATTGATGCTTTCGAACTGTGGTGTTGGAGAAGACTCTTGGGAGTCTCCTGGACAGCAAGAAGATCAAATCAGTCAATCCTAAAGGAAATCAACCCTGAATATTCACTGGAAGGACTGATGCTGAAGCTCCAATACTTTGGCCACCTGATGCGAAGAGCCGACTCACTGGAAAAGACCCTCATGATGGGAAAGATGGAGGGCAGGAGGAGACAGGAGCAACAGAGGATGGGATGGTTGGATGGCATCACCAACTCAATGGACATGAGTCTGAGCAAACTCCGGGAGATAGTGAAGGACAGGGAAGCCTGGTGTGCTATAGTCTGTAGGGGCGCAAAGAGTCAGACACAACTTAGTGACTGAACAAAAACAACCACCTTCAATTGTTGAGTATATGCACATTTTAAATATTCTCTATATATTCATTTAATTCTCACAACAGTCCTATGAAGCCAGTGCAGTTATTATACCCATCTTACAGATGATAAAACTGATGTACAATGGCCTAAGACTACACCATAAGTATCAGAGCTAGATTTTAAGTCTAACTAGCCAACTTTCTGGAACACTCTACACCCCAACATCTGCCAAACCAATTCCAACTCTTCCACACCTCAAAACCCAGTTAGTTCCCCTGGTCTCTTTAAAGCTTCCCTGAACAATGCCTGCTATCTATTCCGAGGCCCACCAAAGAGGCACTCTTGCCTTCAACTGTGAAACTATTAAAATGTGTTCATTCCTCTGAGATCTTTTTCATACTGTTATTTCCAGCACAGTACCCAATGGCAAGCATTTTTTTAAATGAATGAACCAAAGAATCACCTGGAGAACAGTAAACAAGCTCTGAACTACCTCTTTCAACAAGATATAATTTTTAAAACCTATCTGGTATATGGGTTCCTTTTAAAAATGTCCCCTTTAAACCCAGCTCATCATCCCATGCTTTCTCTGTTCCCTCAGTCATGTCTGACTCTTTGCAACCCTATGGACTATAGCCCACCAGGGTCTTCCATCCATGGAATTCTCCAGGCAAGAATACTGGAGTGGGTAGCCATTCCCTTCTCCAGGGGATCTTCCCGACCCAAGGATCAAACCCAGGTCTCGTGCATTGCAGGCAGATTCTTTACCACCTGAGCCACCAGGGAAACCCCTATTTCTTCTAAATTTCATGAATACCCTATAAATTTTCTTACACAAGTTAAGTATTAATAGAGCTCTAGAAGATAACAAATTTTAATTTGTTTCATAACAAATTAACTTTTTTCATAACATAGTATATGAAAGGGCTTTATCACAAACCAACCAACCTCCTTCCAGATTTAGATAATTTGCAAAATGGTTCCCTCTGCTGTCAACAAAAGGTAATGATACAATGTTTTAAAAGAATATAGTTTGTCATTATCCATTCTTGAATGACTTCCTAAACACAAAGATACAATTTGCGAAAGCAAAAGTTTAAATAAAAAGGGATCATTCTCTTTTCTTTACTGTAAGAAAATGATTCTGTTCTAAAAGGTGGCTAGCAAAGAATGGCCTTTTAACCTCCCTTCTTGCCTACCTACAATATGGTTCTTCTTACAGGCTATTTTTCCCGATATCCCACTGACTGAAGCCAGTCTTAGCATTATCTACATTACCCTTCTGCCTGAAATATTTTTACCCTTGTAGTCTCAAGGTTCATTCTCTCCCTTTCTTCACATCTTCACTCAAATGGCACCTTCTCAGCAAGACCTTCCTTGCCAAAATATCTAAAACATCACCCCTTTGTTGTCCTTAGCATATACAACTATCAAGCATAGTATAATGCATTTATTATGATTTACTATAAATTTACTCAGCTAGAAGGTAAGCTCCATAAAGGAAGGAGTCTTTTATAGCTACGTTTACAGCTATATTCCTGGAGTCTACCTCTGATCACAAACTCCTATCCTTAAATTTCTACTTCCTTACTTTTAATCAATTACTTCTTTGATTTCATCAAGAATTCTAGTCCTTTAACCTTCATTTATTCATTTACAAATATTTACTGAGTGCCTACTAAGTGCCAGACACTACTGAAGGTTCTTGATATATATTGGGTTGGCCAAAAAGTTCACTCACACTAACGAACTTTTTGGCCAACCCAGTATTAGCTGGCAAAATAAACAAAAAACCCCACCTGTGCACTGCTCACATGCTAGTAAAGAGAAAGATAAGGAACATAATAAGTACAATATATTCTATGTTATAAATGATAAATGCTTTGCAGAAAGAGAGAGCAGAGCAGAGAAAGGGAGATCCAGAGAGCAATGTAGGGGAGGGGTTGTGAGATTATAAATAGGGCAATCAGGGCTTCCGTGGTTGCTCAGTGGCAAAGAATCCACCTGCCAATGCAAGAGACAGGGGTTTGATCCCTGATCCAGAATAATCCCGCATGCTGTGGAACAACTGAGCCCATGCACCACAACTATTGAGCCTGCACTCTATAGCCCGGGTGCCACAACTACAGAAGCCAGTGTGCCCCAGAGCCTGTGCTCTGCAACAAGAGAAACCACCACAATGAGAAGCCTGAACACTGCAACTAGACAGTAGCCCCTGCTCACCAAAACTAGAGTAAAGTCCGTGCAGGAGCAAACACGCAGCACACACAGCCATAAATAAATAAATTAAATTCTTAAAAAATAAATAAATAGGGGAATCAGGACGAGCCTCATCTGGAAGGTGACATGTGAACAGACGCCCAAAGGAGATTATTAGCCAGTTATCTAGAGGAAGAGTGCTTTAGGCAGAGAAAATAGCTAGGAACCAAGGCCTTAAAACAGAAGATGTGTCTGAAATGTTCAAAGAACAAGGAACAAGAGTGTGGCTAAAATGTAGTATGCAAGTAGGAGGGCAGTAGGAAACAAGGTCAGAGAGATAATGAGGGGTCATATCATGTAGAATTGTGAAGGCCACTGTAAGAACTCTGGCTTATACCCTGAGTAAATCAGGGAGCCCCTAGATGACTTTGAGGAGAGGAGTGATATAATCTCACTTATGTTTTTAAAGGAATACTCTGGCTGCTATGTTGACAACAGACTGTAAAGAGATCAATAAAGAGGTGACTTAGTAATCCAAGTGCGAGATAAAGGCAGCTTGTACCAATCTGACAACAAATGAGATGGCAAGAAGTAGTTGGATTTCAAATATATTTTAAAGATAAAGGAAATGGAGTTTCCATATGGACTGGATGCAGTGTGTGATAGAAATAATCACCAAGGTTTTTGGCTTAAGCAAATGGAAAGACAGTTGCTATTCCTTGATATGGGAAAGGCCGCAGGTTGAGCAGTTTGATGTCTATTAGACACATCCCCAAGGAGGGATACTGAGTAGGTGGGCTGGATATAGAAGTCTGAGTTGGGAGCAAAAGGTCTGGACCAGAAATATAAATCTGAAAGGCATCTGCATATAAACTATACTTAAAGTCAGGAATTAGATTAATCATCAAGGAATTAATAAAGATCAGTTTCTCATACACAACACTATTGTCATTTGGGATCAGAACATTCTGTTGTGGGGGCTGTTCTGTGCATTGTAGGAAGTTTAGCAGTATCCCTGGTCTCTACTCACTAGATATAAGTAGCACCCCCCACACACACACAGTTGTGATAACCAAAAACATCCCCTGTTGAGAACTACTGTATAAAGAAAAGGACCAAACACTCAACTTCTATCACACCCTTTCACATCCAGGTTCACTTCAGTTCAGTTCAGTCACTCAGTTGTGTCCGACTCTTTGCGACCCCATGAAGCACAGTACGCCAGGCCTCCCTGTCCATCACCAGCTCCTGGAGTCCACCCAAACCCATGTCCATCGAGTCGATGATGCCATCCAACCATCTCATCCTCTGTCGTCTCTTTCTCCTCCTGCCCTCAATCTTTCCCAGCATCAGGGTCTTTTCCAATGAGTCAACTCTTCACATCAGGGGGCCAAAGTACTGGNTGCTTCTTCCAGCCCAGCATTTCTCATGATGTACTCTGCATATAAGTTAAATAAGCAGGGTGACAATATACAGCCTTGACGTACTCCTTTTCCTATTTGGAACCAGTCTGTTGTTCCATGTCCAGTTCTAACTGTTGCTTCCTGACCTGCATACAGGTTTCTCAAGAGGCAGGTCAGGTGGTTACACAGCATCACATCACCACTTTCTTCTCAGCACCCCAAACCAACTTCTCCTCTTGTCCTAGTTCTATTATCTCCAAACCTTAGTTCAGTATCACCCTCCACTTTACCTTTTTATACTTAGCTGCTGAGCACTGCTGGAGAAAATTCCCACATGCATATTACATGCAGTGCTACACATGTTTAGACTTCGTCCTCAGGTGAACCCTCCAAAATACTGTCATATGTCCCTAGGTCGATCCCTCTCCCATCCCATATGGCAGCTATTCCAAACCCTTATCATTTGCCTTAAGACCAATGTTTCATCATTAAATGTTTATTATTTTATTTGTTAATTGACTTTCTCCCCAACCACAGAGTAAGCTCTCTGCCTTGGTGGTGGTAAAATATAGTAGACTTCCAATCTATGTATGAATCCTCCCCTCGAGGCTTTGTCGGTTTCCCATTTCAGAGTAAACTGAGGCCATTAGGAATGAACTCTAACAACATTCTGCCTTCACGACTACAAACTTAACTCTGAGGACACCTTTCAGTTGGTCTTCAGTTCTTGCTAATGTAACTGATGAACTTCCTCTATAAAATAGTCAAGAATCAGCTTTCCTTTTAACTGACCTCTACTAAGTTCCCGATATGGGTACTTATATACTTTAAAGGTGAGTGGGTATTTCTCAAGGTTCTAAACTTGACACTCTTCTCTCCTTCTGTTTTGCCTTTGAACCGGCTCATTCACACTCAAGGCTTCTATCACTACCATTTAAGCTAAAAAATCCCAAATCCATGTACCCAAGCCAAATCTTATTTCTAAATTCTAAATACCTTATGTCAATGTCTGGTGGTAGTCATTCCTCCTCAAACTTGCCAGAGGCACTTCTCAACAAGTGAAAAACTAAATCCATCTTCTCCCTCTCTTAAGTATTCACCTCCCTGTACTTCTCATTCTTTCTTCATTCATTGAACAAATAAGTATGTACCAGGACCTAGGACAGGCAATGAGAATACAAAGTCATATTAACTTCTCAAAAGGAACTATAGTCTAGGAAGCAATAGAGAGTGAAAATAATAATATAATCCAATATCTACAAAGACTGACATATGCACAAAGTGCTACAGAAGTATAAGAATAGGTGAAATTAGGGAAGGTATCTTGGAGGATTTAATGCCTGAGACAAATATTACAAGAAAAACAGGAGCGAACCATAGATAACCAGTCTTTTAAAAAGGGGAACATGGTATGGAGAGGCTATTACAAGCAATTTAGAACTTAAGATCCAGAGCAAGAAGTGACAACTGTAAACCACATCACAGGGTACCTTAAAGGCCATATTAACAAACATATTTCATCCTGAATGCAAATGGGAACTTCAAAGGAATTTTAAGTATGGAATAATGCAGTATGGCTTTTGTATCGGATATTTCTAGCATTGTGTGTAAGAGTGTTAGAGGCAGTTATAAGGCTAGTTGAATAGTCCAGACAAGAGAAAGGCCTGCAGGAGTGGTAATAAGTAGGAGGAAGAGACACAAAAAAGAAACAGCCAGCAAGCTAAGTAGGTGGGCCTTCCTAATTAATCGGCTATCCAGAACGCAGGGTCAAGAAGGAGTGAGGATTTAACATGGCTCCAGGTCAAGTTTCAAGCTTGGCTGAAAAGGGCACCCCACAAGTAAGTAACAGTAAGAAAAGAAATCCAATAGAAAAACAGGCAAAGGCTATAATCAGCCAATTCACAGAAAAATAAAAGGCCATTAAACACATTTTGAAAGTTCCATTTCACTGGTAATTACTTCCATACAAATTACAATGGGATGCCATTACCATTCCCACCTCCAAAAAAGATTCACCAAATTTTAAAAGATGGATAATATTCAATGCTAGTAAAGGTATGGGAATGTGAATATATCTAAACACTAATACTGGAGAATAGTTTGGAACACCCTTTTTAGGTGCAATTTAACAATATATTTCAACCCCACTTGAAAGACATTGGAATTCTACTTCTATTAATCAAAGTGTAGCCATTCATACTTATATAAAAAGTTCTACACAAGAGTGTCCACTGTAGATGATTTAAACAAGAATATGGAGACAACCTAAACATTAACCCTTAAGGAGAAGTTAAATCAGTTATGGTAATCTATACCACAGAAGAGAGCAATACAACCTAAAATATGTATGAAACAAAATGGAAATTTCCAAAGCATACACACTTCAGGGGAAAAACTAAGTCATAGAATATATTCCAACTTATATTTAAGAAATAAAAGTTCATATATGTTTGTAAATGCACAGATAAAGGTCATGAAGAACTTTTTGGAGAGAAGAGTAGAATGGAGGAATGGATGGGATAAATGGACACTCATTTTCCACTTTAGCTAAGGATATAGCTTGATTCCTCCACACACACAAAGATAAATTACTTTTATAATTTTAAAAATGAAAAACACAATGTATGTGACATGCGGCATGTGACTAGCCAATAAAACAATTCGATAATTAAGATAGATCCAATGGCTTTTCTAAAGCCACAGTCTAAGATAATAAATATTTAATAAAGACTACTATGAAACATCTCTTCTGTTACTAGCTATCGTCAAATATGCTTTACACAGTGCCCAAAAGGACTGCATTCACTTGTGCCCCTTGCTGGTAGGGCAAGCCCACTTATAGCATTTCATGCTGCTCAAAGTTGTACTCAAGGAATTTTTCTCTGCAATGCAGAAATCATATCAATTGACATTTCACATCTTTGTATATTTAATCTTCTTGAAAAGGTTTTAAAACTATAATCAATGTTTACCATTCCTGATACAAATGGCTGTAATAAAATTTAAGTGACTGAAAAAACAATGAGGACAGAGTGAGAAATATTTTGACCCATAATTTAGCTAAAACTTAGCTTTCACTCACTGTTTCTTAACACAGTGTACTCTCTTTCAACATTTTCTCAAGAGCATAAACTATTTTTGGAATTTTCCCTCTTTGTTATATAACAAGTATTTCCTTATTAAAAAATTCTTTGTTGACTGTTTTTAACATTCTTTTACTTCTGCAACCAAATCTGTCCAAATAACTTTCAAGTTTTCTTGTCCCATCATTTTCTCCAATATCAAAGAGATGACTAACACTGCAAACTGAGAAGTTTCACTTCTGAATGTAAATAAAAAATAATAACAAACATCTGCTTCCAGTAAAGTACCCATTTGTACCTGAGGTCAAGAAAGAGGTACTAATTCACTTTGACTACTGAGTAATGAAAACTGAGCCTTTTTTATGACTCACTGTTACAGGCTGAACTGTGTCTCACCCCCTATCCCACCAAGATACATATGTTTAATTCCTCATCCAATACCTCAGAATGTGACTGCATTTGGAGATAGGGTCTTGAAAGAGATAATTAAGTTAAAATAACGTCATTATGGTGGGTTCTAATATGACCAGTGTCCTAAGAGGAGGAAATTAGGACACAGATATGTAACTCAGGTAAAGACTCAAAGAGGAGAAGATGGCTGTCTATAAACCAAGAAGCATGAGTGAGTCAAAGTGAGAAAATAAACTTCTGTTTAAGCCACTGTTATGAAATGAGTTACATCTTTTCAAAATTCATAAACTGAAGCCCTAATTCCCAATGTGAGTGTTATTTAGAAGCAGGGCCTTTAAGGAGGTAATAAAGGTTAAATGAGGTCATAAGGGTGGGGCTCCAAGCCCAGGACTTCTTTACAAGAAAAGAAAGGAAAACCAGAGATTGCTCTCCTTCCACCACATGCACAGAGCAGAGGCCATGTGAGGACACAGTTTAGACTATAAGCTGAGAAGAGACACCTCACCAGAAACCAGCCCTGATGACACTTTGATCTTGGACTTCTAGCCTCCAGAAATGTGAAAAATAAATTTCAGTTATTTTAAGCCACTGAGTCTGTGGTACTTTGCTACAGCAGCCTGAGCAGACTAACACATTTGCCAATCAAGCAGTTTGCAAAGTATTGTCGATACACATGTTAGAGAAGACAAAGCATTTAAGAATCCCCACTAAATCAATAAAAAAAACAGCCCAGTTGATGGAAGTTTTTTATAACATCTTTCTTACCTTCTTAAAGAATGCTGCAGGTGCCATTTCAGATCCACTCAGTGTTCGCAAGAGGAACATTGGCCAAGATGATGTGTTCATCTGGTACCCTATTTTATAAAATAAAGCAGATATTTTTTAAAAGCCTCTCTGTGATATTATAGCAAGTTGGCATAAAAAACGTTCCATTTACCATTCTTCTCCAAAGAATGACTTTCTGATCGAGGAATGCAGGAAATGGGCTACAGGAGCAGGTGCACCCTCCAATCGGTGCTACTGTATCCACTGTACTGTTAGACAAGAATGCTACAGTGGGGGTAGAAATTCTCATTTTAAAAAAGCCACTAGCTAGGGTTCACAAACATACACATATATGCTGGGAATAGGCCAGAATACTAGGAGATCCAATTCAAAACCTAGGAGAGCTTCCATTCCCCACCAACCACCACACATGCAGAGTAAAAGGGTTGTAAAAAACTACCAGCCCCTCTTTTTCCTCAGAGCCTCTGCCTTACTTCCTTTCAGAAAGACAGTTTTCTGTCAAACTCAGTAAATGTACACTTATGATGGTACATTTCACTGTATGTAAATTTTACCTCAAAAGAAAAACAAACTGTAAATAAACAGTGAACTTAGTTAATGATATGCACGCTAAAGTATTTAGGGGAAATGTACTGATGTCAATAACTTATCCTGAACTGCATTTAAAAATATAATTCACTGATGAACTGACAGAAAGGCAAGTAAGCAATAAAGCAAGTACAGCAAAATGATAACAGGCAGAATGTAGGTAGTGGGTATATGGGTGTTCACCGGAAAATTCTTTCACCTTTTCTGTATGTTTGAAATTTTTCATACATTAAGTTGGGAAAAAAGACAGCTCTCACTTTAGCAATCCCTACACACACTAAATGATCTTGTATTAGGATTTGTATCAAATGCTATCAAAATAGACTCAACATGTGTATTCTCTAGAGATCTCATCAATTAATGGTGACTATCACAGCATGTGGCATGTGCAGCAGGGAGCAGGAGTCTGCTAGCTTTACTATTTTCTGGGGGCAATCTGTTACATGCAATACTTGCCTGCCTTGATGCCAGAATTGGTTGGTGAGAACTTGGCATGTATCCCTGATGAATACATGAATTAAGATAGAGAGGCACATGAATCACATTGCCAATGGGTCCATCAATAAGATAAAATATACAAGAAAGTTCAGACAGAAAGTCATTTTATAATAATCATGTATCAAAACATCCTTAATCTGACTAGGAAAATAATTGCTGCTGGGGAATTGTAAAGGGTTGTTACACAGTCCCTTAAAATAAATCAGTATTACTAGTGATACCTAATATTAAATAGTTATCCAGAGCATGGATTCTCCACACTATGGTTAGAAAAGCGCATGACAATAATTCTCTGGTCCTTATGCCTTTCTCTTAACCTGCATCTTATCCTATTACATGAGGTACCATGACTTTTCTTTAATTTAGCATTTTCCTTAATTCTGAATCACCTAAAGTCAAGCACAAATCAAAGTGCATGTAAAAAATTCAAACACAACTAAAACTAAATTCATGATATTAGGAAGTCTGGACAGTAGTTACCTTTGGAAAGGAGGAGGATATGACTGGAGATCAGCAGGAATGGGGCTTCTAGGGGCTGACAATGTTCTCTTTCTTTATTTGGATGTTGGTTTTTATACAAGTGTGTTCATTTATAAGCTGTACACTTTTCTCCGTGTTTGTTAAAACTTTAAAAAGTAATTTTAAATAAGAACCTCTAACATTTAAATAAATAAACCTTTTAAAAAGTAAAACTATGTAAGTTGTGTTATATTAAAATGGAAACTAAACTATTCAAAAGCATCTCATGAGCAAGTTGGCAAAAATTGTATTTTTTTATTATGTGGTGTCAAAATACATACTAATCAGCATGTATTGCTATGTATTTCACATTTTTAATTAATAAACTCTAAAAGTAATTTGAAAAAAGAATGATTATAAATTTGGTTATGTGTCTGAAATGCTGACAATCACAATAGCTATGTTTCCTTTAAACAAAATACAAACACATACTAGCATACTGACAACAGAGAAATAAAACCCAAACAGGGAAGCACTAAGCTTCAAATGTATATCTGTTACAGAAGTCTGTATGATTTAAGAAATATTATAAAAATAAGCAACAAAAAATGTGAATGTTATGAAAAGGGGAAAAGCAGAAAACACACATATCCTAAACCATCTTCTTGGGAATAACACATACTTGATTAGTTTTTAAAAATATTTTAAACCAAGTTAGTATTAATTAACCATTAGAACAAAGACAATCTAAAACGATGTTGCTAAAAAGAATAGTTATTATGGTCTTAAATTTTTTATTCTCACAGCATCTTTCACTAGTTGGAGACAAAAAGAAGTTCATTCTCTCACTGTGCATTATAATAGAGCATTTTCATTTTTAGCATTGTAAAAAAGAAACAAAAACCAATACCCACCATTCACTCAGAATGTGTAAGTAATAAACTAAATACTTACATTCTACAGAATACCATGGTACACCAAAGTATTAAAACAGAAAAATTTTGCGCAAAATTAGGATCATGTACTTTGTTTCTTTTAAAAACTTGGTCAAAATCAAGAGTTTTATATTAAAAACCTTTGCTGAAGAGTTCCATCAATCTCTTCCTTTACACAGACCTAAAGATACTGATTCCTACCCCTCTCACTATGATTTCTTCCCACACAGGTGTAACGAAATTCCCAAGCCTGACACTGGAGTCCCAGTGTAAAATCATCTCCTTCTACCGTGCTAATCCCCATAACAAAAAGGATGAATGGCTCATTAGACAATACTGAGGGAGGAAGTGACTCATATCAAATGCTACAGACTTCTCCCCCAGAAGGGTTTCTGAATCTGCATGTGTAATCTAGTAGAGCTTCTTTTGACATTTCAAGTTTTAAGGCAGAAGGAGTCTTGCTCTGGAGTGGGCAACCTTTAGCCACACATATGCCAAATATGTACTTAAATGAAACTCTGTAACATATGGTACTGAGTTACTTTCTCAAACCTTCTCCACAGTAACCACCTGACTGTCTGTTTGCCAGAATGCCCAGGAGAAGAGATTTTTAAAAGGTCAGTTGAAATTATTTCTACTGAATATTACATTAGCAAGAATATGTTGTTTTAAAACTGTTTATCCTTACCCAGCGGAGGCTGAAGTAAGTCAAACAGTCAGTATAGTTTAAAAGCCACCACACTTTAACCTCACTCCCATACTATCACCTCTACCTACTTAGTGCTCCAGCCATCCATACCATCCCTTAACACTCAGGTTCTTTTATGCCCATGTCTCTTTCCTTTGGATGTTCTCTCTGCCTGGAATATCCTTCCCCTCATTATAACTACCTCAGATAGGACCTCTTCTGTGAGCCCTTTCCAGTATAGTTATCACACTTTTTATCATTAATTATTTGCATGGCTGTCTTTCCCTCCAGATGGGCAGTCGTAAGAGCTTAGTATACCTGACATGAAGTAAATTCTTAATCAATGAATGCAAAGAGACCATCTGGTTCTTAAGCAGCACTGCAACAATCCCACGATTGCTTCACACTAATGAAGATTCCCTTCAAAAAGTTAATAGTTTACAAAAATAAATATAACATGGTATCTACAGAATTTTGGCATACCTGTCTAAAATACTCTGAAGGAGCACTTAAAGATCCAGTCTCTTCCAAGTATTTTTCCCATTGAAAATCATCTGGAAAAAAACATACAAAAATAGGTGGGTTTTTTTGGTTTATTTTTGGGCTCCACCAACATAGCTTGTGGGATCTTAGTTCTCCAATCAGAGAGCAAACCCAGGCCCATGTCAGTGAAAGTATCAAGTCTTAACCACTGGATTGCCAGAGAATTCTCAGGGTTTTTTTAAACATATATAATATGTATACTAACTTTCAGAAATAAAATGGATTTTAGTTCCATATCTCTTTAAAGAAATACCTCTTAAAGGACAGATTCAAACTTCTTCATTTGACTATCAGCATGGAAATAAAAAATAAGAACATTTCCTGATAATAATGGTTCTGATATAAATGATAATCCAGACCTTCTTGATGTAATAAGGATTGCATCACAGTGATTCTAAAAACGTGAACTTTAGAAACAACTAAAGGACTTTTTATAGAGTAATAGCAAATTCTACTCATATGTCTCTAATACAAATTTACTCAAAATATGTCTATCATTTCATCCCATTACTCTGAAGTTGTTTCTTTGTTTTTCACGGCGATCTAAAGGTGTGTGGCATAGCAGAAATTAAGCATTAATTATGGAAAGAAAAACTCTAAGAACCAGCATTGTTTCTCAATTGACTATTAGATCTCCATCCAGGGTGTCAAGAATATGGTGGCAGAACAAAGCAGAAATCAGTCATCAGTGCAATGACTATACACAGATTGTTTTAACAATCTATATTTTCTGCAAACTCTTTCTGTTCTTTCTCTCAGTCTTGATGACATATAATGCTAGAAGTAAAGGTCAGAAGGCAGTACACTTTTCCTGGACACTTCAATTCACTGTGTCAGTCACAATGCCCTGAAAGACTTGACAGCAGTATTAAAGGTACTATTAACTCACATAAACTTTAATTCTCATCAAACATGAGGGTTTTTTTTTTCTATACTCCCTGTTTAATCTCTTTACTATAAAAATATTAGGGTTTCACAGTTCCCTCCCTAGGGCAATCTGTGTTACTAGCCCTTTATACATTCTTCAAANAGTTCCACTTAGACACACACACACACTCTCACACACTGCTGATAAATGTTTAACAGGAAGCTTTCCAGAAAACACAAACAAAACGCCTGACTGGAACTGGTAGTGTTTGCAGATTTCTGTGCTGTAAATACCACCACCATGGCTGATTGCAAGATGCCAAGGTAAAGTTACCAACCACACAGTTAGGAAGAAATGTGAGCTGATGTGAAATGTGAGCAACATTCAGAATATCACTGTTACATGAAATTATGCATTTAATATGTGTATGTACATATGGTATTAAGCATGTCATTTCATAACACTGTATATACCCTTTTAGAGACTTTTCCACTTTAAAAAAATACTGGGTTTAATTCTGCTCCCAGATCATGTAAAGCAAGCACTACCACAGCGCTGAAGAGCATGCAGCAAAACGTCAAGAACACAGGCTCTTGACATGAAAATGCTATTTTTCAGTCTAACTCTGCCTTTTATTAGCTAGTGACCCTAAGCAAGTCCCTTCATTTTCTCGGCCTCAGTTCCTTTATCTATAAAATGAGGAAAGTAATACATATGGTATAAGGTATTTTGGAGAACTAACCGAAGTAGTATGCATATAAATAACTTGATAAATACATACTACTTAGTGAAATAAAGTAAAGATGACATAAAACTAAATGTCATCCGTTGGATCATCGAAAAAGCAAAAGAATTCCAGAAAAACATCCACTTCTGCTTTACTGACTATGCCAAAGCCTTTGACTATGTGGATCACAACAAACTGGAAAATTCTTCAAGAGACGGGAACACATGACCACTTTACCTGCCTCCTGAGAAATCTGTATGCAGGTCAAGAAGCAACAGTTAGAACCAGACATGGAAGAGACTGGTTCCAAATAGGGAAAGGAGTATGTCAAGGCTGTATATTGTCACCCTGTTTACTTAACTTATATGCAGAGTACATCATGTAAAATGCCAGGTTGGATGAAGCACAAGCTGGAATCAAGATTTCAGGGAGAAATATCAATAACCTCATATACACAGATGACACCACCCTTATGGCAGAAAGCGAAGAGGAACTAAGGAGCCTCTTGATGAAGGTGAAAGAGGAGAGTGAAAAAGCTGACTTAAAACTCAGCGTTCA